ATTAATATAACGAAAAAATTGCTGTAAACATTTTTCATTACCATGAAAGAATAATATTAATATACAGCAATTATTTTAAGATTATGTAAATAATCTTTTTGTATTAAATTATGATTAGATATAAGTTTAAAGTATCGCAGGTACTATTTATAAAAAAATATAATTAGTACCTGAAAAAATTTAATTAAAAAAATTATTAGGTATATTAATATGCTGGTTTTAAATTAATTTTAACGGTTAAGTTGTTTTTTTTTTCGCCCTCTGGCCATTTAAGCTTTGGCTTGGACCCATTCTCCTTCAAAATTGTTAATGAATGTAATCATTGTTAGCTCAGTAATTTTTATTGTATCCCCGTTAGTTTCTTTTTGGAAATTAATTCCTTGCTCCTCAGCCAATGCTTTCAAGTCATAAAAGTTACTGAAATCATTTCCTGGACGATGAACGGATGCTCTCTTTTCTAATATTTCGTATCAAATTAATATATTCTATATTATCTGGCCAGATTTTTCTGGCACTTTTTTTGATTTTTCAATTCAAAGAGAATACGCATCATCATTTTGACTGTCGCCTCTAATGTTCACTGTAGAAAATAACTTTAGAATTTGGGTGCTTTTCAGCAGCGTGCTCTAGGAACTCGTACACGCAAGTTCCTATTTCTGTAGAACCTTTACAACCTAAGCCTTCATGCTAACAAGTGGGATGCGGGAAGTAAAGACTGTGTAAGAACCTCCGAAGGAGGCGGAGTTATAGCCAAAACCAAAAAATTTTAAATTCTTATACAGAATGGGGTCCCACATATATGCAATAAATGAAACCACATACTTGTAATCGTCTTTGCTGACGATATACAAAAAATGAACGTAGTCGGTCCAGTAATTAGGTCAAAAAGTAGAGTTTTAATTTTAAGCAAATTTGAACTCTCTATAGAATTGGGCAATGATTCAATGAACTTGAATCCTTGAACATTAAAACGCGACGTTGCCACGCAGTGCAAACTATTTGTATTGCGACTATGGAGTGTAGAGTAGAAGGAGGACCATGTCTGTATATGAAAAGTGTCCCTAAAAACGCGTCCAATAAGGGTGGCGCTGCAGTAGCATAGGATAAATTAAAAAAAGAGCGCCAAAATTTATTAGAATAAGATGGAGAAATATACAAGGACCGACCAATCCGCTTCGTTTTGTACTACGTAAATAGTTGAGGTTTTGTATACTGGCATTTTACTAACTACTCTAGTCATGAAATTTTTTAATTCAGCTGACTTCACTCCGTCTACAACAGCTATATTCATATCATAGTTTTTCAGACGTCAGCGCTATTGTGGTAGGTTTTGGAACCTCTATTTTCAGTATATAGTGGGACACTTTTTCAACTTTCGCACCTTATAAGATGGTTCTCCTTCTACTCTACACTCCATAATTGCGACGTATCGACAGCGGTGTCTTTTGACCGCGTCCATAAACAAGCGGCACGAGGCACGCGGCGTACTTCAAAGGCGACGGCGCAAGTGCGCGCGCGCCTTTGTCGTAGAGTAGGACACCTGTTATCGACGTTTAACTTCTTTCAAAGGGAGTAATAATCGATAAACAAAAAAAATGTTTAGCTTTAAACACTTAGAGTATGTTTTTTTTTAGAATTATCGTGTTGTTATGATAATTCTAAAAACACTACGACCTAAGTATTTAAAGCTAAACTTTAAAGCTTTTTTGTTTAAGTGTGTTCTTGTAGATTTAGAGATAATATATCATTTTAACATGATAAAAAACCCATAAAAACAACCAATTAAAAAAGTCATACATACTTACCCGTTTCCCAGGAAGTTACAAATCGGTAGTTTCGTAAGTTCAATTGTACAAAAATAAACTTTTTTTTAACAATCAATAACTTGTCGATTGTTATCAAATCAAAATTACTTCTATTCAAATGTTAGGTAAGTAAATGTAAAAAGAAAAGTAACGATAAACGATAATTGCACCTTGTGGCCGCCCTATTTATTACTTTTATTATTTTCGCCATTTTGTAATTTGGAAGTTTGGCTCCAGTTCACGCGCAATTTTTATTTTACGGGTTTTAATTAAATATTTAATTTTTCTACACTAAATCTACAAAATCTGAGGGTATATCGGTACGACTATAAAATACTTGTCAGATCGAGGGTAAAGGTTTTCCTCACTGATCTCTATATACAACATGTAACGTAATTAACGCACATCCTCAGACACCCCAATTAGTATCTTAATTGTAATCATAATACATACTGAAGACGGTCATATGCAACATCATTGAAAAAGGGGCATATGATGGAAGGTCAGTTATGGTATGGGGAGGTATTTGTAAGGGTCACGGAATATACGGGCAATATGGAATTCCGCGTCATTGAGAATGGGTCACTAACTGTGGCACAATATGTGACTGATTAATGAAATTATTTGCAGTTTTTATAAGAGATAGATTTGTTTTATGAATGTTATTTCACGTCCCCATACTGCGTCTATAGTTGTCGAATACTTTCAAGGCTTTAAAATCAATGTTGAAAAAAGTGAATAAAATTATAAGTTCAAAAATGTTTCTTTCCTGTAACATTTTGCTTTTTTTCTTTTTTTGGTATTCTTTGAATTTTGAATAAAGAGCAAAATCCAAATTAATAAACTTAATTTTCATAATTATATATTGCTGATATTTTCTTTTTTACATAATTTTTTGCGTTCGTCTCAATTTGTTTATGAATATCTTTATATATTTAAATTACGTGTCACGTTGTTTTCCGCGATGGACTCCTTAACTACTGAACTGATTTCAATGAAATTTTGCACACTGTGTGCATTTTGGTCCAACTTGAGAGATAGGATAGTTTTATCCCGATAAGTGACCCTCAAAATTTTTTATTGCGAATTTAAGGATTTTTATAGGAAGGGTCGTTGGAAAGGGCAGAACGACGTCTGCCTGGCGGGCTAGTTTATTATAAATTATTATCATTATCATCATAATAATTCTTACACCTCCTTACAAGTGGACTTCTGAACATAGGCCTCTTTCAAGGAATGACACAAAGCTTGATTGGGGGGCAGCGGTATGCCGTTTCCCGCGGTTCGGCCTCGTGGGCTAGCAACAGTAGCTTGACAGTAGCGGTGCGGTCGATTAGCGTATTTTGGTGACCGTTGCATCGATCGCGCGACCAGTTTTTTGGGTTTTGTGGTCTAGAATTTGAGTCTTTGTGCGCGTTTAATTTACTATTAAATTTGGGTTTCGTGTAGACCGCTTCGAATTAGTTTGTCTAAGTTGTACGTTTCGTGACAAGAGGCTAGTATTGAATTTTAGTGATTAAAGTAATTTCGTTTGTAAGTAATTACGTCAATTTGTATAGTGATTGCATGTTGAAGTGTATTTTGCAATTTTTAACCTGCTTGTGACGTGGAACCTTGCGCGCACGTCAAGTGGACATACGGTCTGGAATTTGATGCTCGCATTCCATTTCGAGGGCGTGGCCCGGTTAATTGTTTTTGGAAGTCATTGTTTAATGGTACCGTCGCGGTAAGAGCCTTTTGTGTGTTGACTCTGTAGTTAGTTTGCGTGTCAGCTAGGCTGATTTTGAATTCTTATTGCACGCCGCAATATTATTATTATTATATTATTTAATATCGTACTTACGTACTACGTAATATCCCCTTTTTTCTTGTAGAAGGGTATGAAATTGTTAGTTCTCCGCATTTTGGTGTTTATAAGGATTACGTTAAATAGCTTTGCCAGCCATGCTATCCGGTATTGCTCACATTTTCACGACCCGGCTGCTTTCCTATTTTACATTTTTTAAATAGCTGTTTTGACTTCCTAAGGTGAAATTACTTCAACTAGTCCTTCCGTGGGTGGAAGGGATGAGAAAGAGCGGTTCCTGTGTAAATTACTATTGTAGTGTAGTGGCCTTGGCTATTAAAGGTGCCATACCCAAAATTTGAGTTTTCAGGAGCTTTCACATCACATGACGTGAAATAAGATGATTGCAGACGGGTTTTATTCGAGTTGTTAAAACTGAATTTAACTTGGTTTACGATTTAATTCGTTATTCAAGTCAAATAATTCGACTGGCACATCGTTAATGGTAAACAGTGTTGAACTCACTCAACACCCATCGCAAATTATGACGCCCCCTGCTTGATTGTGTTTTTTAAGAATATTTAATATTTTCTGTCTATTAACAAATGCATTAGATCCACCATAGAAAATGTATAAAAACGAAGATCCCCAATGAAATGAAGACATGTCTTAAAAGACAAACATCTAAGCCAAAAACTTAGTAAAAAAACTCACTCAACTTCTCAACAATTCTGCTAATCTGATATGATCTGATATAAAATTGGAGGTTTTGGCGGGAACTCGACCGGCGGCGGTTTGCTGCTCCTGTATTATAGTTTAAATAATAGTTTGAAGTGAATTTTGATATGGAAAAATGGTGCGATTTTATGTATTAACTGTCTACGCATGTGAACTATTAGTGGAAACTGTGAAACAAATGCTCTGATGGTGATGGATTCTCAAGATAAGCCGTTTGTTTGCATAGGCGCCTTTAGATACCATCGCCTACTGTCAGCTGCCTGCTGGCTCAAGTTGTCGTCGAAATCTCCCAAGGGCTGCACAATGTGACGCATCAACATATTGTGAAGCAGTGAACTATGAAGGATAATTATACATAAAGACAAGGCTGTATGGAATAGTTCCTTTGCATGCTCTTTCGAGCGAATAATAAAAACAACAACAATGATATAAAATTGTCTATTTTGCGGTACATGCAGATAGACTCAGTTTATTTATTTACATTTAAAATTAACGTTTCGTTTGTAATTAATTAATACTGTCACGGCAAAAATAATTATTGCGAAAATCGGGAAATATAGTGGAAAGTGGGAATATTCTCAGTGAACGTAATTTTTAATATATTAAGTATTGCTCAGAAAAGCTTTTTATTTTTATAAAAATTTAATTTTTAACAAACTATATTGATAAAAATGTGGGACAAGTTTCTTTATATTTTTATGATTACATTATCCACATACATTTTAAAGCAACTATTTTCTGAGACTCCAAATTTTGTCAAGTATAAATCAAAATTTCTCATTTTCTACATATGGACTTCTATGGTATCATTAATATTGATGCCTTTTTTCGTATTCAATCCAAAAAATGTTCTGAATTCTTTGTAAGTATACACCCTAGCATTTTTTTTAACTATTAAGTATAACATTTATCCAATTTCTCAATTTTTTCAGATTTATCCACGTAATAAAAGTATTTATTACTGTTTTTATATTTAGTGTAGTATGTTATACTATTCCAAATTCTGCCATTGTATGATTATATTTTTATTAGCTTTCAGCTTAGTGGTATTAAAATTTTAACTAAAACTTCAAAGCCTGACAATTATAAAATGGATTTGTAATTATTTAACCTACTTAAAAAGACATTTTAAAATAAAAAGCTAGTAGAATCTCACTATAAGTGTAATTTTATAATATTTTTGTTTTGTGGTGTCACATTTTTTTAACTTACAAATAAAAATATGTTTTGTAAACTATATTTAATCCCACGTGAATGCACCCTTTAAATGAAATTAAGTTTTATACTTATTTTCTATTTATCAAACATATTTTAATAAAAATATAAATTTGATAAGAAAATCAGATTTTATAGTCCTACTGTAAGATTTATAAATAGATAATAAAGAATTTAGATATTATAGAAGTAATTATGAAAAAGTCTACAGAAATAAATATGGAATAAATATGTATTATCAAAAAATTAAATTTTCAGATTTGCTACCCAAATTGTTAAACATATAACTAAAGTTATTGAAGTTAAATGGTTTCTTAGAAATGGGAAAGTCTTGGCAGAAGATCGAGGAGCAGTTATAGTATCGAACCATCAATCTTCACTTGATATCCTAGGTAAATATGCTTCGAATCTTATTTATTACTAGTGACCTGCCCTGGCTGTGCAAAGGTGAATTCTATATATCAACAACAGCGAGACCACCTACTGGGTATAAATGTAAATCTAAACCATTAAGGGGGCTTAGCTTTCCATTGACGTCAGTGGAGTTTGGTGTTGATACGTATTTTTACAGAAAGATTACACTATTATAAGCACACACACAAAGTCTCAATATACGGAAACACGTAATTTTTGAGAAAATAATAATTGAAAATCAATTATTCTTGCAATGTTTATGTCTAATCTGCTAATAAACTGGCGCCATTTTGTAATGTCATTGTCGACGTCAATAGGGATGTCGATTCTTTCCGAAAAAGGTCGATTTTTAAATCTGTTCAAATCGTAAGCTGATGTATCGGTTCACAAAAAATCGATTTCTAAAATATCTATATTTTTTTAATGTTTCTATTTATAATGTAAATATAAACCTATTTTATGAAAAACAAGAAAGATACCATGATAAATGATCTCTTAATAAAATTTGTTTTATTTAACAGTACCTATTAGGGCATATAACAAATAAAATAGGTTAAGTTCAACTTATGTCAAAGAACCGAATTGATTGACCCCGACTCCACCTGTTACGAGTCTGTTCTACCCCTAGAGTGGTTTTATAGAGCCGGAGGCGCGTAGGGGGAGCAGCCTCCGCCTGCTGTAACAAATCGTAGCCTGCGATTTGTTACGCTAAGGCGTAGAGGTTGCTCTTCCCGCAGCGCCGGAGACGTAGCAGTCTCAAAATAGATACAGAAATCCTTATGAATCAGTCCCCTTATTTTTTTATGATGAAGGGGATTTTTTTCTCATAAAATGGATTTATATTTACATTATAAATGCAAACATGAAAAAAATATCGATATTTTAGAAATCGATTTTTTGGGAATCGATACATCAGCTTACAATTCGAATTTATTTAAAAATCGATCTTTTTCGGAAAGAATCTACATCCCTATTGACGTCGACAATGACATTACAAAATGGCGCCTGTTTATTAGCAGATTAGACATAAACATTGCAAGAATAATTGATTTTCAATTATTCTTTTCTCAAAAATTATGCGTTTCCGTATATTGAGACTTTTTGTGTGTGCTTATAATAGTGTAATCTTTCTGTAAAAATACGTATCAACACCAAACTCCACTGACGTCAATGGAAAGTCGTACCATTAAGGGACCCATTCAAACACACAAAAAATTTCATCAAAATCAGCTGAGCCTTTTTTGAGTTTTAGCGAGACTAACGGACAACAATTGATTTTTATATATAGAGATTGTCAATCGCAAGTAAATGTGAACTTGTCATTTAATAAATACTTTTTGTTTTATTAGATTGATCATGACTTACCCAATAGGAAAATTGACCTCTTAAGATATTTTTTCTTTTGCTTTTTTTTTACATTTTACATTTATTTTTTATATATCATCTGCATTAAAAAAAATATTGCTCAGTAATATACAAAAGTGACAACTTAATTAAATAAAATTTCAATCCATTATCAATGCTCATTGGTCAGGACCTGATCAGGGGGTCTGTGCCCACCTTAGAATTGGCTGGTGCTCACCTCAGGGTGTTGTTGACCAACCCAAAAATTACATTTATTAAAAAGTTGGTTTATTTAATCATGTATCTGATGCTGTAATCAAAATAAACATGTTTTACAAAAAATATTTAGTTTAATGTTATTTAATAGAAATATTTCTAAAAATCTATGGCTGAAATGTAGCTTAACACTTTAAGTTGAAATTACTTTTATTGTGTACATCAGGCTTGGGCTTCATCAGTCATCATTTTCAAGAGCTCTAGGCCTTGCAAAACAACTTCAGATATGCCAATCTAAATGCTTAATTATGAATTAAAAATAATTCTAAGTTTTATAATCTTATAATTCATTCGGAGTTAAGTAGTTTTAGAAAATTGTATTTCTTTTCAAAAAAAATTATTTATGAAACTAATTATTTTATAATGTAGGTAATAAAATGTCTTGTATTTTGTTACTGCAATAAAACAATTTACAAACACAACATTGTATAAGTATAATGAAATATGAAATGGTACAGATTAAAGTTATAAATCAAAATGTGTCTTGATCATCTGCAGGTATGTTCAACATTTGGCATGTGGCTGTAAAAATAGCTGCTATTGCTAGAAAAGAAATATTTTATGTTTGGCCATTTGGATTGGCTGCATATCTAGCTGGTGTGGTGTTCATAGACAGAAATAATTCAAAAGATGCTTACAAACAACTGAAAATTACTTCAGATGTCATGGTGAAAAACAAGGTATGCATATAGCCTAGTTTTATGAGTAAGCCTCTGTCTTTTCTACAATATCTATATTATACTATCTATTCTATTATATTCTTAATAATTAATATTTCCTAATAAAATAGATTAAAAATGTGTCAACTCAAATTAGTGTTCTCCAATCATTACACATGTATAAACTATCCTGAAAAATCCAATATTTTTTTATTATAAATTACAGACAAAAATATGGGTATTCCCTGAAGGGACGAGAAACAAAGACTTCACGAAGCTATTACCCTTCAAAAAAGGTGCTTTCAATATAGCAGTTGCTGCTCAAGTGCCAATAATACCAGTAGTCATATCACCATACTATTTCATAAATTCAAAAAAATATATATTTAACAAAGGTAAGTTACATTTATTTTAACAGAAATATCTAAAACATAGCCTCATGTTTTATATAGTACTTAAAATATCGTTATTTACAAAATGACTTTATCAACTTAATTATAAATACATAAAAAATTTACATTTCACAGTAAATTTCACACACACAGAAAATTTCACAGTATGCAAAAAACCCAAGTTCAATTCCCATCGACACAAATCAAATTGGCTATTGCAATTAGTTAAGCCTATTTTTCCACATGCTTGGTGTTCAAGCAAAACATCATGAGAAAACCTGCATGTTTGAGGAATAAATGTGAAAATTCTTTGACTCTTTTAAGTGGTCTAAGAAAATCACAAATTCAAAGTAATGAATAGATATCCATCTAAACAGTTACATTAAACACTTCACTCTTCACCCCCTATTTTTCTACCCTATGGGTAGATTTTTTTAAATTTAAATGAGATGACTGCCCTTAAGACCTATTTTATAAAATATTATAATCGGTTGGTGTGGGCAAAGATATTGTGTAACATACATACATTACATAAATTACATGTATAGAAACTGCATCCAAGCCTACATCTAGATCTTGTTACATAACTGTTTTTCTTGATTTCTTTTTTTATATTGGGAAAGACAACTGTATTTTCATATGGTCCTGTTATAAATGAACATTGGACTCATTGATGAATAATGAGCAATTAGGTGTAGCACTCAGTCTGTAGTTCATAGTTTTTTTTTTGAACGTCTGGTCATAGTAAAAAATTACTTTCAATAAGAATTACTTGTAAACTATATTGGATAAAAAATATTCTATTCATAGATATCATGGCCCTAAAGATTTGTACTGCACCTAAGTTCTAATGTATCATAATAAAAATAAAATCTATATCTCACAATATTTTCATATCAATTTCAGGTCATGCCATAATCCAGTGTTTAGAGCCAATATCTACAGTAGGGTTAACAATGCAAGACGTTCCTGACCTCATTGTTCGGGTACGAAATATGATGGAAAATGCATACAAGGAACTCTCTAAAGAGGTACTTAGTGCCTTACCACCAAACTATCCTCTCGCAACTCAGGAGCGATAGAAATATCTGTAGCATGGTAATGTACATGTCTGTAATATGGTCTCATTTATTTTAGAATATATTTCTTAATGGTTTGTAATATTTCAATTTCAATTGTCGATATTGATGCTTGCAAATTAATTTAAATTTTTTAAAGCGATGACATCATAAAGTCAATGTGTTATGTTATTTCTTTTTGGAAATATGCAGTGTCAACGTATAAGTATGTGAGGACATTTTTAACAGATGTCTATATTTTTAACCATTTCTTTGAAATTGAGTGAGAGACATTGTTTATTTGTGGAATTAGCATTATCCAAAATATGAACCTGTGATATGTTTTTAAATTCACACTTTTGGTTAGAAAAGTAAGACTTGCTTTTGTACTCATGAATATGTTATATATTCAAATTACTAAAATCTAGTATTTTTAATATATGCTATTAGTTTTATGTCATATGTCATATGTTAGGAAGTATTAACTTGCTTTACTTTACTCCTTAATGACTTTCAGTCTAGGTTAAATATGGACATAATATTTACGAGAATATCATGACGTCTTTAAACTATGTAGTGCTTTATTATAATTAAAAGCAAATATTAAAAATGATTTCCCACCACAAAATTACTAAAATAGTATTAACCCTTTGTGATAATATTTTACATTATTTTACATATGTACACAAAATGTTTTAAAAATAATGATACATATGTGTATTTTAGGTTAGGTTTCTTATTGTAAGCTATATATTTTACATTTTAAGTTCATACAAGTAAAGCGATGTTTCGAGAACACATGAAAGTGAAACTTGTAACATTTATTATGCAGACTGTTTGTCACTTGTTTACTTATTAACTTCGCTTACTACAAGTGATTGCATAAAGGGTAGTGATCGACTATGTTTACCCAAATTTCGGAAAATTACGGATAATATTAAAAAAGGAAAACATATAAAAATTTAGGACATGCATGAAAGGTTATTGCTAGTTTTTCCGCCTTATTTTTTGGGCTGTTCACAAAATAAAATGTAATCTGTGGTTTCTGAAACTATTTTGTAAAAATCGTTTTGTCTTTTTACACAACAGAATGTAATGCAGCATACATAAGTTTCATAGCTAAGGCCTAGCACAGGCATTTTGTGTTGGCAGCTTTTAGAGTTTCTTCCGTAAGTAATCGAAAGTATTTATGTTGCACAGACATAGTCATGATCACTTGCCCGTATCCGATAACGCTTATGTGATAAAATTTTTGGTATGCAAGGATGTACATACGGATAATGGTTCTTTCAGTGATTACTCATGGAGAATCAAAAACTACGAATTTGTGTGTTTGTGTTACTTGCGACATAAAAACCAGTTACTCTGAAGTCTTGCCTACGCCATCGTCAATCCTGATAAAAATTAAAACATCGTGGTTACCGTGTAGACGACAGTTGACATGTTCAAATGTAGTGTCATTGCGCCGCATTTTGCAATGCCTTCAGATTCGAACTGAATACAAAACAAGCTTACAATAGTTTAATTTTATTTGTCCGCGTCGAGTAGAATTACAATATTGAGTAAGGTCATCTAAATCAGGCAACTGTGTCAGCAATAGACTATTTATATTTTGAAATATTTAAGATGATACATTTTTTTTACTTAATATTATATGAATGTTACCTGTCTCTTTTTCCATATAAGTTAATAACCTTTTGACCTGTTAATTAATTTAAAAATAATAATTAATTTTAAACTTCACGGGATATAGTAAGCATAGCACCTATTGTAGGATTCTACACAAAATAATGATAGGAAACAGTATGACATTGCCTGATCAACAATCGCCTATCTTGCGTAGAAAGGTATGGATAAATCTTTCTAGAAAATCATAACACGTTAGCGTATTCTTGAAAAATTTTAAAAGATCAAAGAAAAGAAAAGGAAAATTTGTATAATTGTGTGAACGCGTAATTGAATTAGCGTATACTTGAAAAAAACTAATTTTTCACTTAAAAAATAAAGCGAGGAAAATTAGAATTATTTACTTTTATATTTCAGTATTATAAACCGTACAGAAGACGATAAAAAAATTGTAAAATATGCTACTTTTTTCAACCTTGGACTTTGTTATGTTGATAACAAAACAACATACTAATGGAAAATCGCTTCAATACGGATGCAGCTATAATCATAATGCGCTCTAAAATATTATTTTAATTGAATAATAGTTCATGAAGATTTTAAATAAAATGAATTATTAATTTTTTAATTTATCTACTTTTCCTTTTTTTGTTTTACTAAACACTAAAATATAATTTTCGGGAGTTTGCGCGTGCAGACAGCTCGTTGATCTTTTTTAATGGATCTGTATTTTTTTTCTCACACTATGCTAGGTGAGACAGCACGGAAATTAGCCACAAATTAGACGTGTTTAAGACGTCGACTAGTGCAGCCTTATAAAGCAAAATTCGAAATTACCTATTTGGAATTAAGACAGTAATTTAATATTCATTGTAACTTAAGTATTTTGTTATCAAACTCATTAAAATCACAGATTTTTTTTTATTTGTATTATTAAATATTTTAAGTTAAATAAATATCTACTTAATATAGGTAACAAAAAAGTGTGACAATAAAATTTACAACATTCCCTCAAAAACTTGATATCCCAATAAGAAATAATGGCTACTATCTATTTTAATTTGTTTGTTGAGTCTCAAAGTTTGGTCTGTTTACCGATTTCAATTAAATTTGATTTTTACGTTTTTATTAAGGTACTTTCTTGTTTGTATGTCGTTCCCGGTGGAATTTAGTAATTGATTTTAAACTAACTTCTCGATGAGCTGAAAACTTTAAATTTTGAATATAGCTCTAATTCAGATGACAATGCAAAAATATGATAAAAAAACGTGGTAAATGTTTTTTTAATGTTTTTTTTTATTTTATTTCACTTGGATAATATTTTAACATTATATGAGATGTTTATTTGACTAAATAAAAATCATTAACGTCATTTATTATTCCCATAGAAATTCTATAAAAAAAAATTGTTTGGATACGCCTTAAAAATTATTTCAATTGATATGAGATACTATTCTATATGGAGAGTTGCAATGTTAAGCTTGTTTTCTGCCTATTAGTCCATCTTGATTTTTTTAATTTATTATTTTAAAGGACTTTGTCGCTTTGTCACATCGTCCTGTTCCGACTACAACTAATCACTACAATCGAATATCAAAATAAAAAAATAAAATATTATAGTAACAAAAGTTGCAAGGAACATGCGCGACTATAAATAATCAACCAAAGAATCAGTGGAACTAAAAACAATCGCACCTATTCCCTACACAGCATTAAGTCTGCTAGCTTGACCAACATTTTAGCCTCCTCCGACATTGAATAAGCCATAATACTGTTTATGTGAAAATTCTTATCACTACCAAAACATAACATTCTAATTACTTCATTCCGGACATCTTCAACTATTCTGCGTACGTAACAATTTGTTCATGGCACTTTTTTTATGAAAAAAGCAAACTTGTTCGATGAAATATATCCCAAATGCAATTTAGAATAGATTTTATGGTGTTTCTATTTAATGAACTATTTATTATCTATTACCAAAAGCACGTTATTTGTGGCTGAATTGTTCGATACCAGATACGAGAGCGACACTGAAAGTTCTTAGAAAATCAAAAAATGAACAAACTAGCAAGTTATTAGTTTTATTATATCTTTTCAAAATAGTGTCCATTTCCATCAATACATCGCTGCATCCGATGGAACCACTGAGAAAAGCACTTTGCCTACTCGTCCTTAGGGGTCTCTTCGGCGGCATTTTGAAACGCAGCTACCGCTTCCTCGGCGTCCATAAAAGATTTTTTTCGAAGTTTTGTTTTATAAATAAATAAAAATCGTAAGTTGCGAGGTCGGGGCTATAGGGCGGTTGACCCAGTAATTCCACGTCTAACGTCGCCAAGTAGTCAATTGTTTGCTTGGCGATGTGCGAAGAGGCGTTATCGTGGTGAAGAAGGATCCTACTGCGGGGTCGTTTCTCCCGCCAAACTTTTTCCAAGACACGTGGCAAACAGTTGTTAGTGTACCATTCTGCAGTAACTGTTTTTCGATTCTCTAAAACAATTGTTGCGTAATGACCTGTCCTGCCGAAGAACGAGGCCACCATCTTTTTTCCCACCCTTCTACATCTCTTCACTTTAGTTGGCAACTCCTCGGAAGGAAACACCCAGATAGCAGACTGTCTCTTAGTTTCAGGATCATAACAATAAATCCAGCTTTCGTCACCCGTAAGTATTTCGAACACAGCATTTGAGTCACCTCCGTTAAATTTTGAACCATTTCATGACACCAATCAACACGACGGACTTTTTGGGCCTCTGTCAAATTATGAGGTATCCACCGAGCACAAAGCTTCCTGACCACTAAATGTTCATGGAGGATTTTGTACACTTGACTCATACCGATGCCTAAGCTTATCCGAATCTGCTGATAAGGCACTCTTTTGTTAGTCTTTATCATATGCCGCACAACACAGATGTTATCTTCAGTTGTCGCCGTAGAAGGCTGTCTCCCACGCAGGTCATCGGTGAGATTAGTGTGAGCGCATTTAAACTCAATAAACCAGTTGTAAACATTGACACGAGATGGGACTTGATCGTGAAACGCCAATCTAAGTCTATCATAACTTTCTTGTTGACTTAAATAACATCGAAAGTCATAAAAAATCATTGTACGAAAATTTTCTCGCGTTAAATTCATGCTGACGTGACACAGACAATTTTCAATTTGCCGCCAAATCGTAAACAAATGACAAATTAATAAAATACATACACAATAATATTAGCAAAGATGTCAATTTTCAAAATTTGAACTTATTTTTTTATTATATCATATAAAAAGTTTCAGTGTCGCCCTCGTACCCTTCTCGCGTGATCTTACGTCAAAATGTTCTTGCCATAATACTCTGCATGATTAACCGGTTCAGTGCGGGTGACACGCCAGGCGTACCATCGATTACTTTT